AGAGACGTGTATCTTTATTACTTTTATTTAAATGCAATTTCAAGCTCCTCTTTTTACTCCGTTCCCTCTTCAAACGGCCCCTCACTCCCCGGGGAGGGGCAGCCAGCGCTCGGGGAGAACCTTTCTTTCTTTCTTTCAACCTTTATTTAAACCAAAGGGCAGCGCTGTGGGGGCTCATCCTCTGGAGAAACCCACCCCAAAAGTGTCCCTGGCCCTGACCGCTTCCTAACCAGGGCAAGTTTCCATCGTTGCGGAATTTAAAAAAAAAAAAACAAAAAAAACAACAAAAAAACAGCAACACAAGGGGGAAACTTTCTATGTACGCACCCATTCCAACTGAAAATACTGCAAGCATGTTTTACTGCAAATTCTATTTGTCAAAATAAATTCCATGACACTTTGCCTGTATCTGTTTCCTCAGTCCATCACTACCTTCTTACTTTGCTCTGTTAGCCTAGTTTTCTCCCATAAACCAAAAGGAAACTAAATCAATTTCTAGGTTTAGTAGGTTTTTCCCATACACTTGTACGGTATTTAGAGAGCTTTTAAATGCACTTTATAAAATTGATTAGCTCAGCAAACCACATTTTTCTTGTGTACTGAGACTCAGTTCGCTTATTATGCAGCATTCAGTGTAGACAGAGCAAACGAAAAACTATTTCTAATACAAATATTGCAAAATGCAGCTGATGCCCCAGAAAACAGGTCTATTTAAATGTATTAACAATGTCGGTTTGCCAAAGTACGTTATAAATTTAATTTCAATCCACAAATCTTGTGTTAAAGTTTAGGGGTTGAACAAGAAAAAAAAAATCTCACCTGATGATACCTGCAGCCACAGTAGTATGTTCTATATAGTACTATTTTCATCTCTTACACATTTTTATTATTTCCAGCTCAAAATATCAAAATATGACATTTGCTTTTTTATAGTTTTATAACAACATGAATGACTACATAAGGGAAAATTATTTCCTCAGTAGATTTCTATTTTCACTGCTAGAAATAACAACACTGATTAGCTTTTATCTTTACCCATACCTGGAACGCTGTGAGGTCCAACAGCCAGCCGCACACGGCTCGGCGTCCGCCCCAAGTCCTCGTGCCCGGCTCCTGGGCTGCGGCTGGATGCATAGTCCCGGCCCAAATGGGGATCTGCGACGAGTAAGGAGGAAAGGACCCATCATCCGGGCCTGCCAGCAAGGTCAACGAGTCCCCGGGGAGATGCATAGATGAGGGTGGGCTGGCGAGAGAGCTGGGCTGGGGGTATCTGCTCATCCTGGCGCAGCTGGGAAAACCAAAGACGCTGGGAGCTTCTCATGCAGGATCGTGGGGGGCAGGGAGGTGGGGAGGGTCCGTCTGAGGAAGGGGGAGGAGGTCCGTCTCTGCTCAGGAACAATCTGCCTGTGCAGCCCACTTTCACCTGGGGATGGGGGGCAGAGGGGGAGCCCCACGCGTAGCTGCAAGATAAGAAAGCCTGCTGAAACCAGAACAGGGCTTTTCAAATCTACATTAAACATTCATCGCTCTAAAAATAAACGAGCATCCCATTCTCCCCGGAGTCTCCTCCGGGATCTGCAGGGCTGACGCGCAGCAACAGCGCAGCAAGGGCACTTTGTGCTGTGCCGGCAGCGCCGGGTCCAAGCGCCGCTGCTCAGGGCCCCGGGGTCGGGCTTGTCCTAGGACATGCGGGGGCTCTTTACCCCCCCAACCCCTGCCCAACACCAGCCTCAGCCGCAGGGCCAGTGCTGGGGTGCTTTGGTAGCCGCTCCAGTGCCAAGGCCCTTAGTGCAGGTGGGAACAAGCCCTGCGATGTTTCTCTGCACAGGCTCAAGCGGGCAAAAGAGGGGGCAGGCAGGATGGGACACCCACACAGCCCAAATCCTCGGGGCCCCCCTCAGAGCACTGCCTGCCTTTGGGGCTCGGCACCCTGGGGAGCGTGTGCAGGCCCCGAGGCAACGCTGCTGCACAGAGAAAAAATGTGAATTGGGAGCCCGCGATGGCTCACACCAGCCCTTGCACAATCTACCCTGAGCAGGGACAAACAGGACAGCGGGCGGCCACAGCTGCGCTGCTGTCACCTCCTGCCACCCTCGAGAGCACGGGAGGGGAGCCAGGCCACGCAGGACACCTCCTCCCCTCCCTTACCTCTGTTTGTTTTGCTGGGGTAGATTCTCTGGAAGTATTTATACTCTTCTGGGGCTGGGAAATCTTCGACAGGATGAAAAGAGTATTTGGATTCAAAGTCATCTGCAGCAAAGGGGATAAACAGGCAGGTCAGGGAGGACGAGCACAGCCAAAACCAATGGGCTCCAGCTCCGGACCCCCCGGGAGAGCAGCAGCCGCAGACCCATGCCCGGGGCCCCACTCACCCAGGAACGCTCTGACGGTGGAGATGGAGTCCCGGTGCCCATTCCGCACCGGTGGTGGGGGCGGTGGCGGCCCGGCCGGCGTCCTCGTGGGTGGTGGCGGCGGCTTCCCTCGGCTTGGGGGCTCGGCAGAGCCGTGCAGTCTGTAGGGGGGTGGAGGTGGGGGGGCGTCACGCCCCCCGTTTCGCAGCATCGGCGGGGGCGGGGGGGGGGGGGGACAGGGAGC